GAGAGAGAGAGAGAGAGAGAGAGAGAGAGAGAGAGAGAGAGAAACTGAACCAACAGTCTTACCTAGACTAGGCAAACACTCTACCACTTAGCTACACCTCTACCCTTTGAACTTTTGAGATAGATACTTGCTCTGTAGCCCAGACTGGATTTGAACTTGTAATTTTCTTGTCTCTGTCTCTTGTTGTTGGGGCCACAGGTATATTCTGCCTTATCTGGGTATCATACAATATTTTGTTACAGGAAACAGGCAAGAAACTTATGACCATGGGATTCTGGGTCCCAAGGCAAGGGACCATCCTTCTGTCAATGCACCAAGTAGTTACTAAGCTCATTCTGTACTTTGGAACATCAACAGACAAGAAAGACAAATCTTGCCCTCGGGACATTTATGCCATATACAGCAATGCTACTTCAGAGCTAGACAATTTGGGGGCAACTGAGGCCAGAATGAAAGCAGAGCTAGAGGGTGCCAAGAATATCCCCACTCACTTTTCCTACCCAATGGCACCTGGGATACAAGAAAAGCTCTTAACAGGCTTAAGGGAAAATCAATTTGTGGGTAGGTTTATGCCAGGCTTTTGTTGTACCCCTATTTTTCTGGGATTTTATAGCTGGGCCCTCAGAGGCCAGGTTTGCCAAGCCTGTGGGATCTGGGTGACATCACCTCTACCTCACAGTGCTACTTGAAGCACTGCAGTGGCATCAGCAAAGGTGTGATTTTTGTCTGGTCTGAGAGGGGACCCATCAATGGAATTGGGTGACCTTGGGAGCAATGTATAAGGATGGTGTGAGGTCTCCATATTCTGGCTCCAGAAGCACTCCAGGATATGGGGAGATGTAAAGAGGTTTGGGGTACCTTTGTGAGACCCTCCAAATCGTTGAGTCTGGATTGTCCCAGCCTGTCTGCTTAAGGCTCAATGGGAGAGGCTTACACTGAGTAAAGATGGGAAAGTTGTCATTGATGTCTTCCAGTCTGATCATCACAGTCGCTGTGCCTGACTCTCCCCGAAGACCCTGGGCATCTCGTGCTTCCACCACAACCTTGTACTCAGCCTTCGTCTCTCTGTCTAAGTTTTTGTCCTTTGTTGAAATGAGTCCTGAAAAAAAAAGTGTCCCAAAAGGAATTGTGTTATCTGAGGAATCTTGAGAAAATCTGGGTGCTCAGACCTTCCCTAGAAAAGACATAGGTGACTCTACTATATATCTGAGATTGAGAACCTCAGGACTATAGCCCACTTCTTCCAGATCTTGCTCTGTATGGCTAAAAGCTGGCCAAAATGTGTGGTCCAATATTGTTCCTAGCCAGAGAGAGACTTATGTTGAGAAATACCATAAGGCCAGTTCCAGGCTCAGAGTGATGGATAAGTGGTGTCTGCCTTGGTTCAAATAGATATGGTTGGCTGTGCCATGTTTTATACTGAGCGTGTTGTACTTGATTAATGACGTCTGTCTTGACATATATAGAAGTGGCTACGATTTTTAGTGTTGAGAGCTGTGATGGATTAATGATGTCTATCTTGATGCACATAGAACTATCAGTTGCACTATGTATTTGCTCATCTCCTTGAAGACAGTATGCCTAGTTTGACTAACTGGCCTTCTTTCTTGCTTCCAGGACTCAACACTTAGTTTTTCAAATGTGTTAAACTGAACCAAATTTGGCCTGAGAAACCTTCTGTACTTTGCAGACTCGAATCCTTCTGTGATGAACTGCAACCTAGTAGTGTGTAAATAAACTAAACCCCTAACTTAGGAGTATGCTCAGCCAATCACAGCAGCTGTGCTCCAGTTAATCATAGGCTGCCACCTGTTCAAAGCTGTTCAAATAAGGCAGACACCCAGCTGTAACCAACTGAGCTCTTTCTAGACTGCAGGATTTTTTTTCTACACTATAAATACCACCCAACTATGTGGCAGCCATGGGGTTTCTCTGAAGTTGTTTGGCTTCTGGGGTGTCCCAATTTGTGAACTATTCTTTGCAAAATTAAATTTGATAAAATTTAATTGGTCTAAAGTTTTCCCTTTAGCAAGGCACAAAAAAATTATGTGGCATGGCTGTGTCTGTGCATAATCTAATTCAAATTTCATAGCGACTGAACAAAGGGCTATGAACATTCCTAGTTTCTGGACAAAGGAAATAAGGATTATAAGGCATTAGTTGACTTGCCCAAGGACTGTAAAACTGAGTAGCAGTGCAGGGTTTTAACTCAATGTCTCTGGACATGTACAAAGACCTTCCAACTAGCATTTTTGTTGAGTCCTGGTCTCTGAAAATAGGGTGAAAAGACCCCTATTTTCTTTCCGTGAATGCTTTGAGCACCTGTTTGCTTCCTCCCCTAACCTGCCCCAACATGTCTTTATGTATATTACGTATTCCTTCCCTGGAGCAATGGCTGGTGACACCTGTCAGGTTAGACTTCCCTCTGCATTGGCACCTGCAATATTCATGTCCCCAAATCCCCCAAAGAGGTACCCACCCAAAAGGGTTACTCATACAGACCAGAATTATCAATGTTGAAGTACTCATTTCCTTTTAGGATTTGGTACATGACAGTGGCGTGGCCATCCACCGTGGGGTCATCAGCATCCACTGCTGTCACACGGATGACGGAGGTCCCTGTGGAGAGAGAGAGAATTCTGGTGTATCTGCTCTTACTGGATTCCCTGGTGGGAGCAGATGGGGTTCTGCTGTTCTTACCACCAAGCTGAGGGAGAAAGTTTGCCTTGTGCCAGAGGGGCCATTGTGAGGGTGAAGTGCCAGCAATGGTAGGCCCAGCCAGATGAGTCATGAAGGTTGCAAAGAGAACAGGTGGTTTGTGGATTTGTGGGAGAAATGAAGAGAGGGGGATGTTTGGTTTGAGAGAGAAACGGGAGGGTTCTGGATGGCTTCACCTCTTTTGAAGATGAGAGAATGTGGGACAGGGAAGGGTATTGGGAAGCCTCCAGAGTGAGGGGGACCACACTTCTCAGTCTCTGGAGTTCTAGGATTCCCTCAAAAAGGTCCAACCTCCGGGCCCTGAACACAGAGCCTGGACACTCTTTTCCTGTGCCTCTGGAAGCAGGATGAGGACAGGCTAGCAATTCCTAAACCTATATTTAGTGTGATGACACACGCTGGGGTCAGGGTCAGGGCCCAGACTATAAGGATAGTCAGTGCTTAGCACATTATGAGAATCAGAACCCATCTGTGTTTAGGGACAGGGTTTAGTGTGGGACTAGGTCAGAGGTTAGCCTTTAGGGACAAATTTTGAAATCATGTCAAGAGGCAACACAACATTACACCTACTTCCTTGAACTTACTGAAGCCTGACCCTAGGCAGTGGGATGGCTGATGTGAGAGGTGAAAGAGAGGGCAGACTAGGCACATACCCATAGCTGACATCTCTGGCACAGATGCGTTGAATACCTGGCTTGTAAACACAGGCCAGTTGTCGTTTACATCATGAACCTTGACAGTGAAGCTGGAAGGTCGCTCCAGGTTTTTGTTGCTCTCCTTGTCCACAATGAGAGCAGTAAGGTAGTACTCAGGGACCTTTTCCCGGTCTAATCTCTCAAAGGCATACACATCTCCTGAGTCAGAATTGACCCGGAAGATGGTGCCAGCAAACTCTCCTTGGAGGACATACTTGGCATTCTTACGGTTCACGCTGGACTTGATCTGGGAAAGAACAGACAACATGAGCTAGGAACGGAAAGTATGGCTACTTGCATTTGTGAGTGTGTGCACACACAATTGTGCAAGTTTGTGTGTGTGCATGCATGTGGGGGTGTCTGTATGCATATATGCACTATGTGCATAGTATCATATGTGTAGTGATGTATAGGGATCAATCCTCATTGTGACACTGAGGCTTTAAACAAGAACTTTTGACTGGTCACCAGTGAATTCTTCTTCACCAGGTCACCGCAAGCAGTGATGAGCATTTCTTAGCTGTGTTCAATGCCTAGAATGGTGCCTGGATCCCAGTAAGCCACTTGCCAGTGAAGAATAAAAGGCATCATTATCCCTTATATTGTTACCATCTCATCTGTAAAATGGAGCTAATTGAATTTCTAAGGCTGATTTGCACTAATGAGTAGAGCAGTCCGCTTGGAAATGAGTGCCAGGAAACCTTGGCTTCTTTTGTTGCCCCATGCAAAAACAGGATACATGCCAGTGATACATTGGAGCTGGCTGATACCAACATGGATTTGAAAACTTGACTAGAATTGGGGAATATCTGTGATCTGACTGTTAAATGTAGCCATATTAAAAATTAAATCATCTGAACATATGATGAAATAAATCATTATTATAAATGGTTTGTCAACTTAGGATTTGGGTATTTGAAACCAACCTAGGAGACATGCCTCTGAATGTGACTGTTACGGTTTTCTAGAAAGCATTGACAGAGATGGGAAAGTCCACACTCAATATAGGCATCATCACCCTAGGGACTGGGGTACTGAATTGAGTAAAAAGGAGATAGTAAATGAAGCAGCTGCCTCCATCTGTCTGCTCCTGACTGTACAGGAGCACAGAGGGGTGACCCTTTACCTCCAGCCTCTCCTCCCTGCCCCTCCTCACTGCACCTTCAAACCCTGAGCCTGATTAAGCTCCCCCCTTCTAGAAGTTGCTTTTGCCAACTGTTCTGTCGCACCAACAGAAATGTAACTAATAGAAACATGCTAGAAGCAAAGATTACGGATACTCAGAATTCATGTTTCTAACTGTGTTACTGCATTTAACTGCATTCTTGAGGTTATTGTGTCTTCTGTATGAGCATAGTGGTAATACTAAATGGGGTATGGCCGTGTACATCTTGTACTAACTCTGCCTTCAGGCATGCATATCACCAGCTTGAAAGCTGAGTATTTATACTACAGAAATTGGCAAGTTCTACACATCGGCACTTTCCCCTCAAAGCCAGTTGTCAGACATTTATCAGTACAGCAAGCATTGGCCCCAGTAAATTTGCTTTTGGAATGATTCATGAAATATTCTCTTCTTGGCGATTTATGGTGTCTAATCTGCAGAACAGAACCATAGTGAGCTTTGTTTAACTCAGGGTGTCCTGTACCTCTTAGACCACTGAGCTCGTTTTCTTTATAACACATGCTATTAGTAGCTTAAGGGAAACCAATATATGCCAAGCACCTTGCACTGGACACTACTCAGGCAAATCACAGTGACTGGTCATGATAGACCCACAAGCCAAAAGATATTAGAAAGTTTGAATGCCAAATATTCCAGTTTTGCAACTAGAGGATATTAAGTCTATAAGATTATATTTCATGAGTTCAAAATAGTACTTTTCAAGAAGGCTAGAATGACAAAAACTGGAATTCCACTTGAAAAACAGGAATTGGATGCCCACAAGGTATCCTATGTATCAAGCATACTTTGGGACACATAGATATCACAGGTCCCATTCTGGCTCTCAGACTGGGACTTATAGTGGGAGGCTGACATCTCAGGAGGATAGAACTTGGGGGTCAGATGGAGCAATGCCCTTGTGTGCAGGTGTTCAGTAAGGATCTGTTAAGGTGGGTAGAGAGCAGAGAGAGACCAGGAGGTCAAGAAGGTTAGCCTAGGGGAGAAGGAGATTCCAGAAGGGTGTGGACCAATCTCCAGAGGTCTAGAAAGTATCCCTAGAGTTTAGCAGTTGTTCAATAATTGGAGCACATAGTGAGAGGGTGACAGCTGGGTGGAAGGCTATGAAACCAGACATTAGAGCACAGAGAAGATCCTGGAAGGTAAAAGGGTAGAAGCACCTTTTACTGCCAAGGTAGGGTGACCCTTTCCCTCCAGTAGGCATTGGAAGAGGGAGGTGAGCAGCACCTAGGACTAACAGAAATCCTGGAGCAGGGATTGTGGTGTGCAGGGGGCAAGTGGGCCCAATGGACAGGACAGATATTGAACAGCTAAACAGGGGTAAGAAGCCATTCAACTCTGTAATCTGTGGCATGTGGGGACAGTAGAGAAAGAAGGAGGGGGATAGTTGGCACCCTGTTCAGGGCCCAGGTTAAGCTGAGACACTGGTCTTAATCAGAACCTGTGAATTTTTGTGAAAGGAGTGGAGTGGAAGCAAATCAACTTGGAAATGAACTGGGAACAATGTAAATGTCACAGGCGCCCTTCTCTCCCATCTATATTTTATTCCTTTCCTGTCTCTTCCCGTCCCCTCTCTTCCAGTCCCATCTTTCTTGCTTCCTTCTCTCCTTCCCTGCCTCCCTGCCTCCCTCCCTTCTCTTTGGCTATATAACCCAGGTTGGCATTAAACTCTCCATCTTCTTGCCCCAGTCTCTAGAGGACCAGAACATAGCATGCACCGCCATGCCTGATCCATTTTATTTAAATAGACACTGGTTTTTACAACCCTTCTTAGACTTAAAGAAAACAAGACACCAGTGCACTGAGTTCCTGTGCAGCTGTCCCCTTCACCTCAGCACCACATCTCACATTAGTGTGGTCCCTTGTTACAATAAGGGAGCCAAACCAGGTGAAGGGTCATTGATCCACATAGGTAGCTTATACAGAGTTCCTTCCCCCCCCCCCCCCCAAAATTTCAAAGTCCATCCATCACACCACCCCCGCCCCCAGACCCAAGATGCCTTTCAGGGCACCATACAGCATTTAGTTGTCATGTTTTTGCAGCTTATTTTGATTGTGAGAGTTTCTGAGAATTTTATTATTTTTGATGACCTTGACACTTTGGAGGAGTTCTGGTCAGGACTCTCATTGAATACCCTTCCATTAGAATTTCTCTGTTTTTCTCACCACTGAACTGGGGTTATGGGTCATACCCCTCCCTATTTCTGGTATCATTGTTTGGATGGAATATCTCAATGCCAACAGCTGCCCTGCCCTGGCAGGCTGCTCCCAGTTGGCTTCCATTGTCCGTCCAGGTTTATAAACAAGAGCTCCAGACTTTGACCTTGATAAACACGCACTTCCTTCAGATTGTGTCTTTGGAGTCACGAGAGGATCCTTGGAGTCCTGTGTTTGTGTCTCCTACATACTCTCGTTTTAATGAGGGTGGGGATCACATGTGGTTCCTGTACTCCCCTAGCTCCATGCTAGGTACCAAGTAGGTTCTGTCATCACAAGACACAGACCATCAGTCACCCCTCTGAAGTTTGTCCTGCTTGGCATTGGCCTCCACTTTCTGGAAGCCTTTCCTGAATCATCCTTCAGATTTGCCTCAGGTCGAGCCATTCTCCTCAGAGAATGATTCATGGCCAGTTATCCCATTGGGAAAGCCATAATTGGGCTAATGGCATTTCCCTCTATGACACAGGCTCACTGAGTAACTCTAATGTGCGTCTTTCCTTCTGCCTGGTCAGGTGGCAGTATTTTTGTCACCCAGACAAAAGCCATCTTGGAAGCCTGACTAACCAGGTGCCCAGTCAACTGGCTATGGGTGGGGCTATTAGCAGATACTTTCTAGATGACTCCACCTGTTTCCTTTAGCTGAAGTCAGAGAGGCAATGCTGGTGCCCTGTGCAGACTGCGCCCTCACACCAAAGGTCCTCTTCAGCCTGTTTCCCTATCATCAGAACACCCCCCACTCCCATCGTTTGTGGGGTTCTTTGTCTGATACATGCTGTTTCTCTAGGTCTCAGTTTTTTAAACGGTGGTCTCCAGCTTCATGTGAGGTCGTATGCCTAAACGTAGGAGTTGTGAAAAAATTGGTAACACTGAATTATTTCTTGATGCACAATGACCAGAAAGTAATTCCTAACCCAATGTGTGATGGTTTTTCAGGTGTACTTGCCTATGTTGCATCACAAAACTTCACTGCTGCCTTGGTTCTCGACACACAACATGTGCACTGGACATTGTGTATGTCATCATGTCACACAACACCAGTGAGTGACACCTGAGACACTTGGCTTATATTTGAGACTACTGTTTAGGCTACAGTGATTTTATTGTGCATGCAAAGTTTTCTGCTTTGATAGAAACAATGATTAAAAATGACCTTTATATTCTTATAAGATAAACATACATACATATGTGTATGTAAATATGTATATGAGTTTCATGTCTCCCTATATAGATATATATCCTTATATAATTTTATTTTTATTTTAGTTTTGAGACATGGTCACTGTATAGTCTTGGCTGCCCTGGACCTCATTATGCAGGTCAGGTTCACAAAGATTCATTTGCCTCTGCCTCCTGAGTGCTGGGATTAAAGGTGTGCACCACCATTGCCTTGTAAAAGAGACTAATATTTTTCTGCTATCATTACTCAGCATGTAAGAGCCATATTATTGTGTCTTTGAATTAGGTTGTATCAGAATTGTTGATTTTAAATTTTCTGTTTGAGTTGTCAGCTTGAGTTTCATTAAAAGGAAGTTAAATGAATTTTTTTTATGAATTAGAACAGAATTTCCAAAATGGACCTAAATATACATTTGCCATTTTGTGCTATGTTTTTATGCAAAGCAGTGTTCTTTAACTATTTTAAAATAAAAATATTGAGCCAGGGTAGCTCATGCCTTTAACACCAACTCTCTGGAGACAAAGGCAGGCACACTTTTATGAGCTTGAGGCCATCCTGATCTACATTGTGAGTTCCAGGCCAGTCTGGGCTAAAAGTGAGACCCTGTTACAGACAGACAATAAACCAACATATCTATTCTGAAAACACTGAGTCAAATGTACTTTAT